CAATGTTCCAGAACAGTTCAACCCAAATATTCGTGAGTGTGCAACGCATTTAACGGAGGACTGTTTCCTGAAGCTACAATGCCGTCTGTTCTGACTCACAGTCTGTAAGTACGTTTTCATATTTAAAGAATTTGCCACTGAGTATGTGGAAAATAATGTGTTTTTTTAACCTTAAACCGCATAAACACATTTCATTACACCAAATACACATAATGTTCTTTGTAGCAACATCATATGACTCCTTTAATGTCATATTTATGGATTATATTATATAAGTATCAGCAACATGTTATAATCACTTCACAGGCAGAAAAACTCATGCGGGAGATTGGAGTGCAGAAAATTCAGCTTTCTGAATATGAGATGAGCATTGCAGCTCATCTTGTGGATCCATTGACTATGCAGGTAGGGAATGAAGTCACCAGCTGACTTTATCTACCAGTAGTTAGTTGTCTCTATCATAGTCAATTTTTATTTATTTAAGAGAAGCAAGTTACACAAATCATTTATGTGTGTCCACAGATTACATGGCATGACATTGCAGGTCTGGATGAAGTCATAACTGAACTGAAAGACACGGTTATACTTCCGATCCAGAACAGAGATTTGTTTAAAGGATCCAGGCTTCTTCAGCCACCCAAAGGTAGGATGGAAATATTTCCATAAAGTGTTTCTAAACTGAACTCCACACACATTATTCTGAGGTGGTTTGCTTGTCATCTTCTCAGGTGTGTTGCTGTATGGGCCTCCAGGCTGTGGGAAAACTCTTATAGCCAAAGCTACTGCCAAAGAGGCTGGATTCCGCTTCATTAACCTGCAGCCTTCCACTCTCACTGACAAATGGTACGGAGAATCCCAGAAACTAGCTGCAGCTGTCTTTTCGCTGGCCATCAAGCTACAGCCCTCTATTATCTTCATCGATGAGATTGGTAATTGCATATTTACATTTTTATGATTTTCATTTCCCTAATAACTATGCAAGTAATTATTACTTTTATAATAATTTTCCAGCTTCACTGGAACCTGGGACTTTTGAACCTAAATCAGTTAATTTTGCTCCTTTAAAGTCACATAATATGTCAGTAAGTGTAATATTCTTTACTTTTTTCTACATGTCTTAGATTCCTTTTTGAGGAGTCGCTCAAGTTCAGATCATGAGGCCACTGCCGTGATGAAGGCTCAGTTCATGAGCTTATGGGACGGACTGGATACTGACGTCAACTGCCAGGTACAATCAGCATATATTTGCGTTTGTAGAACAATTCTTGTGAGGTTTACTGGTTTGATCAGTGATCCAAAATGCTAGTCAGTTTACTTTTCTGATGTGGTGTGATTGTTTTCTGCACAAAGGTCATAATAATGGGAGCCACCAATCGGCCACAAGATCTTGATTCTGCAATGCTCCGAAGGATGCCCACAAAATTCTACATTAATCAGCCTGTAAGCCTACTGAAATTAGCTCAAGATATGTTTATATGGTTTAAATGATATGCTCATTTTTACTATTAATCATTAATGTAGTGCTTCTTATAAATGATCATTTGCTGTTGTGTGTATTTAGAATGTCATGCAGAAGATAGACATATTGAAACTGATCTTGAAAAATGAGAATGTAAGTATTTTATAAACTGGACTGTCAGATTATTGAAATTTGCGAGTGCTGAAAGGGTCACTTTTCCTTTTCTGAAGGTGGAGTCTACTCTGGACTTTGGTGAAATTGCAAAACAGACCGACGGGTTCTCAGGAAGTGACCTCAAAGAGATGTGCTGAGAGGTTGCTCTGCTTTGTGTGCGTGACTTTGTGCATGAACAAAGGAACACTTTCCAACTATATAGGATATAGGACAGAATTTGGTATATGTTTATCTCTTTATCTGAAGTTTTAAGCTCCATTTTCAGCTTTTCTAGTGTAATTATTTTTTTCAATCAGTATGAAACTGACATTTACACTGCTCCCTTATTAATTCCCCTTCATCCCATTACAGTCCAGATGAAGACTTCATCTGTCCCATCAGGCAGGAAGACTTGCAGAGGGCATTGGAGAAGATGAAGAAGTCCAAATCTGCTGGATTTCAGGAAACACTTATGCATGTAACACTGGACTGAATGTGATGCTCCTGTTTTAACATGAACCCAGGTTTTTTAGAAGATGAACCTTGACCTAGTCCTTGACCTTGACCTTTGTGGCATATTATTATGTCATGATTTGCAAAAGGGAAACTCAGGATTTATAAATCTAGAAAAATTCTGTTGCTTTTGCAATTCAGTCAATAAACCTTATTCATAAAACAGGAGCGGAACAAGTCTAAATTGTGACATTGCTGCATTCAGTTCAAAGGGACAGCTTATAAAATAACTATCCTAGTTACAAAGAAATTTGTTTGTGTTTCAAGAAGCCTATTGTATTTATCTGAATTTGGATTTCTTTACTGGTATTGGTAATTTGAGAGATGTGCAGCAGTATGTACAGTATATGCATATTTGTACGGTTATCTGCTTGTTATTTAATGCTTGCCATGCCATTTTCCTATATTGCGTTGATCCAGTTTAAATATTTTAGTGTTTAGGGTGTTTCAAATCTGCAATATGTGCTTCATACACAGTGTAATGACCTAACCAAAAAAATCCAAAATTATTGTACATATCTTCAGTGTAAACTATGACTAAAATTGCATTACAGATCTTAAATGTCAATTTTGCCTATAGTCATAATCGCATAACTGGAATTGGACTTTAGACTACTCAAAACCTAATACAACTATAGTAAAGCTTTGTGGCATCCATCAGGTTATAGAGAGGGACTGTGGAGTGATTGTGTCATATAGGTTTGTGGAACTAAATAAACCAATTGATTAAAGGGAAACTGCCTTTTAAAACTATATTTCTGGTAAGTGATCCTTTTGATGAAGCATTTAATTTATTTAATTTCAGGTTTTAGTGAATGAGGAAATATTGTTTCCTTTGTTTACTTTCTTTGTTGTTTCTTTCATTCATTTATTAGTTCTCTTGTTTTACATTACTTTTCCATTATGTTTGAGTTATTCATTTTGGGCCAGATTGTTTACAGAAGTTTTACTGGGCAGTGAAATGCAAAAGATGAAGTTTAAAATGCAGGACAGTGACAATATGTACAATTGCATAAGACAGAGAAACTACAGAGAACAAGAGACAACCATTCAGACAAAAAGAGACGGGCATGGTCTATTTCAGACACAAGGTACTAGTATAAACTATACACAAAATAAAAATAAATAGTAAAGACTAAACGTATAATTGAATAATTGAATCAACATCTGTTTCTGTATATTTGTCATTTTGAAGTAAGTACTATCATCTTCCTGTCTTAGATTTTTTTTTTTTGAGGAGTTGCTCAAGTTCAGTCCATGAGGCCACTGCCATGATGAAGGCTCAGTTCATGAGCTTATGGGATGGCCTTAATACTGACTTCAACTGCTAGGTACAATTCAGCATGTGTTTGCATGTGTAGCACAATTCTTGTGAGGTTTACTGGTTTGATCAGCGATCCAAAATGCAAGACAGTTTACTTTTCCAACTGATGTGTTGTGATTGTTTTCTGCACTAAGGTCACAATAATAGAAGCCACCAATGAGCCCCAAGATCTTCATTCTACTATACTGCGGGGGATGCACAAGATTCCACATCAATCAGCCTGTAAGTTCAATCAAAATATGTTTATATGGTTTAAATTAAATGTATGCATTTTTCACTGGGCTGAGTGGGATGCTGCTATTTTAAGATGAAACAACAGATCTGTTGGAAGATTAAACTAGATCTAATCAATGTATTTTCTTATTGCGGTATATCGTGTCATGTTTTGCAAAAGGTGGTGCTTAGGATCTAATAATGGTGGATGGGTGTTTTTCTCTGATCACCTTTATTGTACTGTAATTTTCCTGCTCTGTTGTTTTTGCGATTCAGTCAATGAACTGTATTTATAACACATTAACAGAACAGATTTATTTGTAAATTGTAAACCATTAAGTAAATTATCCCATTCAGTTGAAGAATTGAATGATTTGACTGAAAAGCATTTATAGATTTATTGGCCATGAATGAAAAAATGTTTTAGTGTTGAATTTAGCCCAGAACAGAGGTTATGTGATGGTCTTTTGTTATAAATATTTGTTTGCAAAACATTAATTATGGTTGAACGAAATATTTGATTTGTTTCTTTACAAAAACCTTTATGTTTTGGATGTGGAGCCCATGTAAAATCACTGATGTTACTGTACGTGCATACCCCCTGACTGTTGTTATTTTGAGGGTTTGTGAGAATTCAATATGTGAAAATATTTTTTTCTGGTCAATTGCCATGATCGGTTGTTTAGTCCCTATTGTTATGGTGGAGAACAGGGCTAGTTCCCTTTCATAGGTTCACTCAATGCTTCATTGCCAATTGTCTGAAACTCATAAATCATGCCAATTTATTGGCCGATGGTGCTGGCATCTCCTGAGTAATAGTGAGCATGCCATCAACCCCTCAGATTCTCTTACTTCAGAAGAGGTTTGTCTGGCCCGTTCTAGTTAGGCTTCTCTGAGTTTTTCCTTTGAATAGGCCCTACCTGTTTTTGTGCTTCAGAGATTCGGGGAATTCATGCCCCGTTCGGAGAAAGTTGCCATTTTTCAGCGATCTTCATCACGAGATCCTGGAAGCAGCTGTTTTCTGCTTGTCTCACTAATGCAGCGGCCTCTGACTTCATCAATCTTGTTGGTTCTGTGGAGCACAGCTATGGTAGCATTTCAGCGATTGAGGACACACTGCCACACACCTCTCACCTTCATCTGCTCAATCCTGGAAGTCTTTTTCTCTTCTTCCTTACACTGGGACCTTACCCCGGAGGCAGTTTAGGAGCTCCGCAGAGCTACTGACTTGGCATTGTGTGCAACTAAGCACACTGCATGTGCGATTGGACCAGAGACGTGCACAGACATTTTGAGGGGCAGGGGCTCAAGTGGAAAAAAGGGCATCTCTCACATTTATTTACATTTTTTCCTAAACAAAACGTTAAATATATTAGGTGTGCGATATTGACAAAAAATATATCTCGCTATTTTCTGGGATTTTATCGATAACGATAATTAGACAACATTTTGCTGAGTGTGTTATTGTGCTGATATCTGGTAAGGACTACCGTGGACAGCTGACTTCTAAAGTTCTGCATATTCTGTGTGGTAATCAGTTCACAGCAGTGATAGAAATTAATCTTTTCCAATAAGTTTACATTGATTTTTACCTTTTATGGGCATTTTTACCTTTATAAAGCCAATTTTTTCTAAAAGTGTGCATAATCTTTTCAGTCAAATTCTTAACTTGAATCAGTCAATTAATAATATAAGTTATTTGGGCTGTTACCAAGCAAATTAAATCAGTATTGACAAAATTCATCTTTGCAATGCAGAGGAAACACAGAAGCTGCATTAGAAGTGGCATTTAGATGCATTTACACACTGTTTAATGCAGGACATGAATGTTTTAACCTGCAGTTACAAATACATTAATACTGCTTTGATAATTTAAACATAAAATGTTGAATACTGATATTTGATTTTTTTTAAATGAAAAGATATTTTAAATGTGAAATTAAAACCGCCAGTAGGTGGCAGCAAGTCACTGTTTATAAGTGAGTCGTTGCGATTGAACCGAATCATTTAAAAGATGGGTGCCCAACCCTGCTCCTGGCGATCGACTGTCCTGCAAAGTTCAGCTCCAACCCTAA